TAGCAGGTGACTAACTGTAATTATTCCCAAACCAGGTCATATTGACTCTCATCAGGCATTAAAAATGCATCAATCATCAGGTGCTAATATTACCCAAAAGAAGCTATTGTGTTGCCGCCAATAAGCAACACTGGTTCACCTTACCAATTACTTGACCAACATTAGGAAAACTTTACCGGTATTAACCATTGCGAGTAAATGCTGCAGGCCAGTAAAGCAGATACTGTGCAATATAGTAACGGTAGTCCGATGCTTTCATTGCTGTCCATGATTTCGGGAATGTTGAGAACTCTCTAGCATGATCAGCTTCAGCTATAGTGTTCTATAAGCTACAACACATTTCATACCTGTTACGGCAGCTGCACTCGCCTGTCCTCTTTTTGAGATGACCACTTCATACAGATACTTGTTGCAGTATTTCTACTGTACAAATATGAAACACCTGTCCAACTTCGTCATGCCTCTGTGCGTGAACTCAGTAAGGCTGCTGTAAAGTTATCGATGTACGATGCTTACGAGAAGTAGCCTAAAGTTCATCTGCAGTGAAGGGGGGGGGGGGGATTCTGACGGTAGCGCAGTTTAAATTTGTGCCTAACTGAAGGTTGGCTTGGAATACGATCTTCGCTTGCGTGATACAAGGCTGGCTCTTGGGTAGCGCTGGCTGGTGGAAAACGCTGGCTGATTTTGGCTACCTGCTGCTTTGCAGTAAGATTGTTTCAATAAAATAAAATGATCGGTTGTATTTATATATTGAGACAGAAGGAAGGCAAATTTAATGTGGCCAGCTACTGGACCGCTTATTTACAAGCGAAAACTTCCCATCGATTAAGCCAGCACATCATTAGAAGTCTAAAAAGACGCTTCTGAGTGCTACCCCGTTATCTGGCACAAGTCTTTTTGCGAAAAATTATGCGTTTTTAATTACTTGCACGTATTAAAGCACTGATGGCACAGTTCAAGAACTTTCAGCTTGATACAAAAGACATCTCCGGCAAGTGCGTAGCCGGCGGAAATTTTTTTTCGAGGGGGGGGGGGCACCACCTTGATTTCGGGAGGGGCACACCCTTAAATGTATGCGGCGATGACGTAGTGGTTAGAGCATCCGCCTCGCATGCAAGAGGTTCGTGGTTCAAATCCCGGTACCGCGCAGTTCCCAACCGGATAAAAAAAACAAAAAAAAATCCGCGTGTTGATGGAACTGCATTAAGAGGCCTGGGGTGCGGCCTCACCGGCAAACACCGCCGAGAACGCACTCCCTCACCAGCGAAGGATTGGCCACCCTGGTGCAGTATCTGGCCACTACCTCCCACATGCTTACGTCAAATAACTCACGGCCCTCAGTCCCCAGCAGCTGCGAAGCAACTGACCACGGCGGCGGTCAGACCTGCAACGCAGCAGAGGGTGCTAAGAATCTCTGGATCCGGACAGGCCGCCATTGGAACCTGAACTTGGCAACGTTTAACGCTAGAACCTTATCTAGTGAGGGAAGTCTAGCTGTACTATTCGAGGAGCTAGAGGGTGTTAAATGGGATATAATAGGGCTCAGTGAGGTTAGGAGAACAGATGAGGCCTATACGGTGCTACAGAATGGGCACGTCCTTTGCTACAGGGGCTTGGCAGACAGAAGAGAACTGGGAGTGGGGTTCCTAATTCACAGAAACATAGCTGGCAACATAGAGGAATACTATAGCATTAATGAAAGGGTGGTAGGTATCGTAATTAAACTGAATAAAAGATACAAAATGAAGGTAGTACAGGCTTACGCGCCTACATCCAGCCATGATGACGCTTCAGTTGAAAGCTTCTATGAAGACGTGGAATCGGCAATGAGTAATGTAAAAACACAGTATACTATAGTGATGGGCGACTTTAATGCAAAGGTAGGGAAGAAGCAGGCTGGAGACCAGGCAGTAGGAGATTATGGCATCGGTACTAGAAGCGCCAGAGGAGAGCTACTAGTAGAATTCGCAGAACGCAATAATTTACGGATTTTGAATACCTTCTACCGAAAACGAGAAAACCGCAAGTGGACATGGAGGAGCCCTAATGGCAAAAATAAGAACGAAATCGACTTTATAACGACCGCACACCCAGGAATTGTGCAGGATGTGGAAGTGGTTGGCAAGGTACGATGCAGTGACCATAGAATGGTACGGTCTCGAATTCGCCTAGACTTGAAGAAGGAACGACAGAAGCTGATACGCAAGAGGCCAATCAATGAGCTAGCACTGAGAGGGAAAGTACAGGAATTCAGAGTGTCGCTGCGGAACAGGTACTCGGCTCTTAGTGAGGAAACCAACCTTAGCGTAGATACAATGAATGATAATCTGACGAGTATCATTACGGAGTGTGCAGTGGAAGTTGGAGGCAGGGTAGTTAGACAGGACACTGGCAAGCTTTCCCAGGAAACGAAGAACCTAATTAAGAAGCGTCAAATAATGAAAGTGTCAAGTACAACAGACAAAATAGAACTGGCAGAGCTTTCGAAGTTGATTAATAGACGTAAGGTATGCGATGTAAGAAGGTATAACCTGAAGAGAATTGAACACGCTCTGAAAAATGGAGGAAGCGTCAAAGCAGTGAAGAGGAAACTTGGGATAGACAAAAATCGGATGTATGCACTAAGGGACAAAGAAGGCAAAATAACTACCAATATGAATAGGATAGTTAAAATAGCGGAGGAGTTTTACAGAGATCTGTACAGTAGCTGGGAAAACCACGACTTTAATACTACAAGAACTAGCAGTATCTCAGATGACACCCCACCAGTAATGATAGACGAAGTCAGAAAAGCTTTGGAAAGCATGCAAAGAGGCAAAGCTGCTAGTGAGGATCAGGTAACATCAGATCTGCTGAAATATGGAGGACAAATTGTGTTAGAAAAACTAGCCACCTTGTTTACGAGGTGTCTCTTGACGGGAAAGGTACCAGAGTCCTGGAAGAACGCTAAAATCATCTTAATACTTAAGAAAGGAGATGAAAAGGGCTTGAAGAACTACAGGCCGATCAGCTTGCTCTCCGTTGTATACAAGCTATTTACAAAGGTAATTGCTAACAGAGTAAAGAAAACATTAGAATTCAATCAACCAAAGGAACAAGCAGGATTTCGAACAGGCTACTCAACAATTGACCACATTCATACTATCAATCAGGTAATAGAGAAATGCTCAGAGTATAACCAACCACTATACATAGCCTTCATAGATTACGAGAAGGCGTTTGATTCAGTAGAAATATCAGCCGTCATGCAAACACTGCGGAATCAGGGCGTAGATGAAGTATATATAAACATTCTGGAAGAAATCTACAGGGGATCAACTGCTACCATAGTGCTTCATAAAGAAAGCAACATAATACCAATCAAGAAGGGTGTAAGGCAGGGGGACACAATTTCCCCAATGCTATTTACCGCGTGCTTACAGGAGGTTTTCAGAAGCCTAGAATGGGAACAGTTAGGGATAAGAGTCAATGGAGAATACCTTAGTAACCTGCGCTTCGCCGATGACATTGCATTGCTGAGTAACTCGGGGGACGAATTGCAACTCATGATTACGGAGTTAGACAAGGAGAGCAGAAAGGTGGGTCTTGAAATTAATCTGCAGAAAACGAAAGTAATGTACAACAACCTCGGCAAGGAGCAGCGCTTCGAGATAGGTAATAGTGCACTTGAAGTTGTAAAAGACTATGTCTACTTAGGGCAGGTAATAACCGCAGAGCCGAACCACGAGAATGAAGCAACTAGAAGAATAAAAATGGGGTGGAGCACATTCGGCAAGCACTCTCAAATTATGACAGGTAGATTGCCACTATCCCTCAAGAGGAAGGTATATAACAGCTGTATCTTGCCGGTACTTAGCTACGGAGCAGAAACCTGGAGACTTACAAAGAGGGTTCAGCTTAAATTGAGGACGACGCAGCGAGCAATGGAAAGAAAAATGGTAGGTGTAACCTTAAGAGACAAGAAGAGAGCAGAGTGGATGAGGGAACAAACGGGGGTTAAGGATATCATAGCTGAAATCAAGAAGAAGAAATGGACATGGGCAGGGCATGTAGCGCGTAGACAGGATAACCGCTGGTCATTAAGGGTAACTGACTGGATTCCCAGAGAAGGGAAGCGGGTTAGGGGGAGACAGAAGGTTAGGTGGGCATATGAGATTAAGAAGTTTGCGGGTATAAATTGGCAGCAGCAAGCACAGGACCGGGTTAACTGGCGGAACATAGGAGAGGCCTTTGTCCTGCAGTGAACGTAGTCAGGCTGATGATGATGATGATGATGATAATGACACCCTTAAATGGCCATTTTTTCTCACTATGCTATGGCGAATATATATATATATATATATATATATATATATATATATATATATATATATATATATATATATATATATATATATGTATATATAAATATATATATATATATATATATATATATAGAGAGAGAGAGAGAGAGAGCGCTTCGCTGTAGAACCTTGAGGAAATCTGTCTCCTTACTTAGCATGTACGATCTACGTTCGTCATTCCTTGTTCAGTTTAACTTGGCGAAGAAGTATGATAAGGTAAGTTTTCCGACGAGGCACGTTAAAACATCACGAAGCTCTGCTCAATGTTAGTCTTTATGAATTGTGCAATCACTATTGGCTTCAAACAAACTTTGAAGGTATCACAACGTACGCAAATACACTATTCTACTTTCACTACATGAAATTCTACATTATACAGCCATAACATTCATATAATAGTCCAAATCTCGACGAAAACTTGTCAGGCGAGGGTGGTTCATTGATGTACTAAAACAGGCAGACGCCGTGTAATAATAATACAAATATATATCGACGCCTCAGGGCCACTACAGGTCCCTTGTTCACACTGAAGCGCTCTTCATTCTGAACAACGGACGTGTAGCGGTACCGAAAAGTCAAAATTTGTTTGTTTTACTTGTTTTGCTCCTTCAACGCACATGTACTTTCATATAACGTGTGAAACTCTGGAATACTTACAAAGTGAGTTGCCGCTTCGAGGTAGCATCGGCCTTTTTTCCATGTTCAGTGCTCGTCAATGAGTTTTCTTTGCACTCGGTGCTCGGCACAACACACCTCTGAGAGTTATTTGTTGGTGCTTGCTGTCAGGTTGCCTCTTTCAATTAGGTTTTTCATAACACTATATTCCGATATGCTTCACGGCCAATGATGTTCAGGTGAAAATCATGAGAGCTTACTCGAAACACTGGTTTCGTTGCTCAGGACCCTCTGAACGCGAAGCTTGAAAAAAATTTAAGTGGCAGTGCTTCAAGCACGCTCTTCGTGTAGACGCTGGCCCTCACTTGGAATATGGAAACGGCCACTAATCTCTATGCTCTCGTGAGTTGGGAGCGTTTCTTAGAGAAATACAGGTTTCCGGAGGAAAAGCCGGTTCAGTATTTCAGGGCTCAGTCCACAAGCCCCTATTCACGGTGAGATTCAATCAGACTCAAATATGGAGTCCTTGTTATGCGCGACTACCCCCCAGTTTCTCGCTTGCGGCTCCTCTCCCTGTTCTCGCCAGTGTCGTGAGGGGCCCTTTGCGGCTCCTGTCCGGTGTCTGCGCTGTTGCACTCGTCTTCACTCTGGTCCCCCGTAATGGCGGTTCCAAATGGCGTCGGTTTCGAGTGCGAACGAACCGTCTTGAGCCGAGGTGCTTCGCTTCGTGCGAAGCAACTTGCGTTTCCCCTTGAGACTCCCTCTAATGCAAGGCTTGTCTCTCTTGAAGGTGTTGCAACCAGCGTCTCTCAGTGCACCATCTGGACTCACTCTCAACTAAGTCTTCATACTATTGAACTGCCTAGCTGTAGCAGTGGGTAATGACGAAATAGTTGAAGGCTATCGAGTAAAAGATGAATCAATCAACTAAATACCAAAGTAGGATGGGAGTAGATATGAGATGAAAGCGAATGCGTGAGGAACGCTTCAACGTTGTTCTGCCTTACTGCGCTACAGTTGAACGAAGTGCCTTCGACACTGAATCTCGTTGAGAAAACTTGATCACTTCGCCGAAGAAATTCATCCGCTTTCTAGGAAATTTTCTGCTAACGAAAACTGGATACTTAGTAAATCCAACGAAGAAGGACAACCAGCCACTGTTGCGATAGGTGCTTGCAGCGTTGAAAGCCTTGGTTGACCAGGATCTCCGGAGAGAAGACGGATGAGTTACTCGAAAGTCCCGTTGGTTAGGCAACACTTTTGAGCAAGCAGCATGCACCAGACGTATGTGATTCAGTCACATCGAACAGCACTTCGCCCACACGAACAACGAAACACACTCGGGGACTCTCTGGCGACGTTTTGGCAGGTCGTCGGAACACGCAGCGTTAAATCAGACGTTGGTGCGGCGCTTGTCAGCTGCCAGGGCCGCTGCCCATTCAGACTAGCGGGCCGAGGGGCGAGGAGATTGGCTTTGTTTTCTTGTTTTCACCATCGATAAGGATAACCTTGTTTTTCGTCACGTGCGTCACTGCTCTGCCGACATCCGGTCGGGCAGGCCACAGCTCGCTGGCGGAGCGTGTAGTGTGTGCCACGGCAGGCGCGATGGCGGCAGGCGAAACCCACGCGCGGCACCCGCTCAAATAATGTGAAAGTCGTTGTTTGCACTTCGATGTGGCATGAAACGCTAGCGATAATGTTCTTTCCATGTCTGAACAGCTATCAAGTCTATGCTGCTATCGTCTCGACTCCTTTTGTCTCGTCACGAACCTCTTGAGCTGATGAGCGCCTAGGCACGTCCGCTATCGGGCGATCAATTCACTATAGGCTTGGAATCATACGCTTTTTATCTTGTGAACTTGGATCTTTTTTACGTCAAGTTTTACTGACATGGGAATACTTTCACTGCTGCTTACGTGTTAAATTTGCAAGCTATACTTCCTAATGGTGATTTCGTAATTTAAGTAACAGGTAAGAAGGAAGGAGCACAATAAACCCAGGGGCTGGTTTCTTTGCTAGCCGCATCATGATGAAGAGAAAAGCAAGGAAGCCATGCAAACCATAGCATACATTACGCCTAGTTTTTGAACGCAGTGTCATAGCTATGACGCAAAGGGAAAATAATTGAAGTGCATTCAGACAGCTTGGTGCCGTTGGGGGTTCATCCCAGGACAGATGGCAGAACGAATATTGCAAAAAAGCTTTGTTTCACGTTCATTGTCATAGCTACTAATGACGTTAGCTAAAAAATAGGAAAAAGAAGAATAAACTCCGAGCATGACATACCTTCAAATTTTCAGTAAAAGAGTGATAACGGGACACCATTGCTGCCGTAGCTCAATTGGTGGAGCATCGCACGCATGATTCAGTCTTTGGAATTTTAGTCGCCGCGTCAAGTTGCCGTTTTGTCCACTTAGGTCTTTCGATTGATGGGATAATAACTAGCACTGCAGCTAAAAAAACTTTAATAAATTCTCCTCATTTTCAGCTTTCAGAGACACTTAGAGTTACTTTCTATGCTACCTTTAGGTAGAGAGTTGCGCCACTGTTTTCTGGGCACTGCTCGCTCCGCATGCAGGAAATCAGCGCTCCTATTCGCCGAACGCCTTCACGTGGTCATAGGTGGTTCGATTGCACGGCGGAGAAGCCAACACAACGCAGACTGACGCCGATGCTTCAGCAGATACCGGGTGGATCAAGCGTGGTTGACTTCGACTGTTGTAATTATTCCAGCCGCGCTACTTGGGTGCTGCTGCCACGTTGCCTGTTAGAGGCGAGAAACTCGGTAGCAAGTGCATTCTGTGCTGAATTGTACTGCGTACAGCCCATTTGATCATACGTGGGTGCATTGGGTGTGCAATGAGGATGGAATAAATGATTGGTTTCTTTTTATATATCCACGGCACTGCATAGCTTTCTATATTTGTATTACCCACAGATACAATGAATACGTCATACATGCAGAATTAGTCAGCGTGTATCAGCTGCATTCGTCGAAATTGATCTGACAGGTGAAACGGTAAAACCAATGGAAGAAGTTAACCTACAACTATTTGAATCAGCAAGGTGCTGCATTTAGCGCGTGTATTTAATGCAGCTTTCAAACATCAAATAAAAGTAATGTTGGACACGACAGGGCTGTTGAGCAACAATTCACATGAACTATCGTGAGCCGCGATTGTAATACGAGCGTAATACGAGAGCCTCGCATAACATAGGCATCGCACGGCCACTCTCGGTCACTGTCCAGCTCGATAACAAAACTATAGTGGGAAATAACAAAACTATAGTTGGATTTCTCACACAGTGAACAAATGAGCCTAATTAGACGAAAAACTAACATATCTAACGAGCTCGATCGCGATCAAAACTTCAGAAATAATTTCGTATCTGCAAATGAGAAAAACAGCGGAAAAGATGAAGAAGCTAATGTGTCACTAACTATAGATATATATCTCACTGGTTTATTAAGCCAGCGTAATTTGTTTCACTATTAGATACCAATACCGTGAGCATAAAATCGAGGCTTCTAGGCGTGACCGAAAGTTTGGGTACCTTTGTAAAAAGTAGAAAAAAATTAAGCAGATCCCACGTACAGAGGGAATCCATGATATGCGAAGCACGAATGAGCAATGTTGATATGTCCTTTTAAAATCACCCCAACGTCATTAGGAGGGGGTAAATGATGCCATACATGCCTTCCGTGTCATAATTATCATGTTTGGATGTGTTGTTTACCTTCGTCATCTATTCACGTCACGTGATACCAAATTTTGTATATGTGGAACTAGCGAAACGTCCGCAAGCAAGCTATGAGCGAGGTATGTTGTCATGATGTTATATGACACGCGTGTCAGGATTACCATGTTTGCTCCAGTCATATATTTTTTCATCCAACGAAATCACGGAACACCAAATTCGGTATATGTGTTGCTAGCAAAATGGCCGCGAGCGCATCATGAAGGTCCCAATATACTCCAATACAGCGTTGACGCGCACGGGCACTTGGCACAGCGACGCAACGTTAGCAAAACGCGAGTACTCTATAGTCTGATGCCAGGCGCGACCAACGTCCGTCGGCGAGGCCCGGCGGCAACCGGCACGAAATGCGACATGCTGTATTTCGCACCGATGTGTTACCCATGACAACACTGCGTCTCCCTCTTTTCGTGACGGAGGGACGCCGGACGTGCTGAAACGCGCATGCGTCAAAGCAACGTAGCGTGGCGCACGCCTGAGAGTATATGGCAGGAGCGGCGTGGCAATACCGGCGTGATGCGACGAAATGAACGCCGGTGAGCACAGCATTGCAGTGAGCTACTTCAAAGATTTCCTTATGGTGTCTAAAAAATGTGAATAACCGGCAACTCGGGCCAAGTTAAGAAAAATATTTTTGACGTTGATACGCCTAGGCACGTTTTCTGTTGCGCAGGAATTTCAAAACACTGTTAAATATGTAAAAAGGCATATTCAAAACATTGTTTGCCTAAAGAGCGCGCGAATAAATAGTTTATGGATAAATTTTCTTCGAAATAGCCTATTTTCTGAAAATAAAATGAAACTTGGTCTCAATTACGACGAATGTTTTTTATCGAAGAGCCGTTATGCCGGTCAAAACATGATTTTATTAGGATAAGTTCTGATGCGTTTGTTTCAAAGATGTAACGGGCTAAAAGGGCGAATGCTGTGTGCGATCATTTTAGTAGCATTATTGTTTGTTCCTGGTCCAGCGTCCCCCCCCCCCCCTGCACCTCTTCCCGTGTTCCCAGCGCGAACATGTGTTTGCCGTGGGCAAGAAGAGCGCCGAAGCCGACACCACCAGTGTTCTTGTCACTTTTATTTGGGGCTGCTCTGAGCTTTCCTGTCATAATAAGCTTCTTTCTCTCTTATTTGGGGGGGGGGCAGGATCAAAGGTTTGCGAGACTGGAGGTGACGTAAGCATCCAGCTGAGTTTGCTGATTGCATCGCCACATGTGGTGATAGCACTCAAAGGTTGCGGCCGCTGAGGAGGTAAGTCAAAGGCGCCATACTTGTAGGGAAGCTGCGAATGAAACGTCTAAAATAACAAAGTCGAAGGCACAGAAAACTGAAAATGCATTTCATTGCCAGTTTAGGAAACGCAGCAACAGCACGAAGTGTCGTGGGATTCAAAAGTATACCATCTTGGACAAAGACAGGGCCCAGAAGAAGCCGCTTTCGTGTGCCAAAGTAATGCCTCTTTTAAGTTCATTTCAACACCATTGGAGCAGAGCCAAGTGACAACAGCTTCAATCTTTTGTAGATGGGCCGCAAAGTTGTCTGAAGAGATCGCAGTACCATCGGGTAGCGAATTCATCTGCTACTTGAAGCCGCGAAAAATATCGATCATGCGTCCAAATGTTGCAAGTGCTGTAGCATAGCCCAATCGCGTCTCAATTAATTCCTATAAGCTATCGGGTAAAACGAAGGCTGGTGTGGAGTCTTCAAGTTCAATCATCGGGACTGCTAGTAGTCGAAGCGCAGGTCCAACGAATAGAAGAAAAACTGTGATCCTTGCCGCTGGTTGCGACGTAGTCTATCTGAGGGTAGGGATGGATGTCAGCTACGAGCTCTAATGTTCATAAAGCCGTACTTCACGCAAAAACTAGGTAATTAGGCCATTTTTTCTTATTTCTTCTTTTCACTATTATGAAAGGTGATGCCCATCGGCTGCTTGATTTCTGTATGACGCCTGTGCTGGACCATGTTGTCACTTAATTGCGGCCTTCAATACATAAAATGACGTTTTGTTAAGAAAAAAATCGAATGACAATGCCTTTTTCTGTGATGTTCGAAACTTAATTCCTCGAAACCTGGTGGCATCAAGGTAATTCGTTCGAGGTGAATCCGCTTTGCGATATCCTCAGCTATATTTTTCAAATGAAATTGGTGGTGATAATTTAATTATTTAGCAACAAAATTAATGAACTTTCGTTGATTAGCTGGCTATACCTTTCAATTTACTGTGTTGGTAGTAATTTTCCCCTCATCACGTAGACCAGTTCATGAGCTAGAATTGTACAGTATCCCGACGTTAACGTTTAAATATCATTGAAAGTTTTTCCTGAACCATTGGTATTCTTGCTATTGTTGCACACATGTACTCCACTCCCCTCAAGAATGCCTAGGCACTTAAGTGCATGTGAGATCAATGAGAAGTTTGGCAGGATCAATAAAAAATTAGGCAGATACCACGTACCTTCAGAATGAACGTTATGTAAAGCAAAAGATAAAATGTGAATATATGTAACTTCTTCATTGAGGGAACCATTACGATGCGACGCTAAAGATATTGTTACACGACATCTGGGACGATGTCGTGTAACATCAAACAGCCGCATATTTTCTATACAGGGTGTTTCAAAAACTGTGTCTATTATTGTTTAAAAATTTGCAAAAGACGCTATTTGCTCGCCGCCATAACAGTTGCTTTCTGTGTAGCAGTAGGCATTTTAAGAGGCTTGA